GGGGCAGCTGGTCTGTTGCACAGAGGTGAGCGAGCAGCCTGGTGCAGGGCGGGGGGCTGCAAGCAGCAGCAGGGGGGAGCACGGCCTGGTAAGGAAAATTCAGGAGTGTGGGGCAGGACTATGCGTCCCTTCCTTGGCCACCCAGTAGGCATGTCGCCCCTCTGGCAGAAGCAGCTTTCCCACCCCGGCAAGCTTGCAAGACGGAGCTTGCAAACCTGGGCTCCCGCCCACTCTGCGGCTGCCTTCTGTGCATGTGCAGCCAGGGGTGCCAATCAGCATAGGATGGGGGGCTCTTGCAGCTCGCAGCCAGAGCCTGGCTCCTCCCCCCCAGCCGTAGCAACTCCTGCTTTTCTCTCTGGGGGTACTTGGTGCATGGGCTGAGAGCCAGTGGGTGAATTTGCTGACAGCCACGCCATGTGAACGATGGGCAGACAGGCACCAAGCTTCCCTCTCATCTTTTCCACCCAGGTGCGGAATAATTTTATGTGCACTGAGGCGTGTGCGGCTGTGCACTAGAAACGCAAAGCTAGCGGTGGGCGCTCTGCTAATCCGCTGGGCAGCATTGGAATCTCTCCAGAGCGGCTACACAAGTGCACACCTCACAGGGAACGCCGCCAGGCACCCAGGCCTAGATCCTCCAAGGCACTGAATGGGGGCAAGCTAATGTGGGCAGAACTGGAGGCCAGCTTGAAGCAGATGCTCAATGTGGCCCTTCAGGCCCAAGCAGGACTCCGAGGGCTGGCAGGACCCCACGGGGGCTGCCCAGAGGCCGGGACCTGGGGTTGGAGGAGCCAGCAACAGGGTTGGCCCCCAGGGGCAGGGAAGCCAAATGCAAAACCCAGGGGCGCTGCTAGGAGTGGCCCTGAGCAATTAACAGCTCCACACTGACAACCAAGTTCAAAGACAAATCAACAGCAGAAAACAACCCACGGGCTGATCTTTTGCGAGCAGAAAACTCCCTGGAGTGAGCGAATGCATTATTCATTGCACGCTCTCCGGGGGGGCTAGGACAGCGGTAACACAGAAGCATTTCATTCCAAAAAATTCAACAGCAGCTAGCGGAACCACAGACCGAAGCTCATTTCACATTTCTCTCCCTGTCCCTGAAACACGCCGACATTTATAGAGCAAAGATTTTACAAAGGGAAGGGGATTTATTGTCATTGAGGCTTAATTTTGGCCAGGATTAATTTTCTAAGTTGGGTAAATCTTTCTTCCCCGTGCCTTTGTATCTGCAAGCAGACAGCTGACAGAAACCCTTTCAACGTTCATTCAGCCCCACAGCCTCAGTGGAGGTGAGATTTCAAGTTGTGTCATTTGAATGTGTGCCAGAGCTGAACCCCGATCTATTTCAGTTACCTGATTGAAAGCAGCCATTCCTCTGTCTTTGGAGCAAAAGGAATTCCTTTCAGAAGCCAGCTAAATCATACACCATAGGACAGGCATTTCATATGTCTGCTTAATGTTCTGTTATCGAAAGAGATTGCCCTAGCGGTATAATCCCACATTATAAATTAGCGGAGAGATAATTGGATTTGCACGCTCCTTCGGATATGGTGTTAGCCAGTTATGTAGTACTGACAATGCATTAACATCCTACCCAAAATGAAACGGCGCATCATAAAAACCCAACATTTATGACAGAGCGACTAACGAGGCAGGGGGAAGTGGATGCAAAACCACTGTGAGGTAATACCGCCGCGGTGTTAAACCGAATCAATAGCGGCAAAGCAGACGATTGCTTGGAGGAAAAATGCAGGCCTCCCCCTCCCCCACGTAAGGAAATACAAAATAGTTTATCGCACACACACAGATGCTACATTTATACTTAGGTTATGTCTACACTGCCCAGTCTTGCACAAGAACATGAAGCACGCCTCACTTGCATATGTTCTTGCGCAAGAGTGGGCAGTCTGGATGTAGCCAGAGGCTATGTCTACACTGGCGGGATCTTGTGCCAGAAATATGCAAATTCGGCTAACCATGGAATATCACTGAGCCTCATTTGCATATCTAATGAACCGCCATTTTTGCAGAAGATGCTCTTGCACCAGAAGGAACATCTACACTGCCCCTTCGTATGCAAGAAAAACCCTCTTGCGCAATGCCACTACGCTGATTATTTTCAGGAATAGCAGCATTGCGCAAGAGGGTTTTTCTTGCGCAAGAAGGGGCAGTGTAGACAGCTCCTCCTGGTGCTAGAGCCTCTTCCGCAAAAATGGCAGCTCATTAGATATGCAAAAGAGGCTCGGCGATATTCCACACTTAGCCTCAGTTGCATATTTCTGGCACAAGATCCCGCCAGTGTAGACATAGCCTTAGTGTACATCTACACCGGTGACAATAGGGTTGTCCACCACGCCCGCTCCCCACCTCAGGACCCGTCCTCAGGGCAGCTGAGTTTTGTTATTTGCAGTGTTGGTATTTAACAGTGCTCATTTACTTGCACTGACGAGACGTCCCCAGACCACGAGCAATGCCACTTACAGGCCGTGCAGGCAGTTTCACCTGGCACAGCACAAAAAGCAGCATTCTTGTTCTGCGCGTCGTAGCGCTGGAGCGTGGGATGTTCAACACCCGACACAAGCTACAGCCACAGGGAGCAACACCCCTGCCCTCATGGAATGTAGATGAGGCCAAGAGCCTGGGAGAGAGAAACTTACACTCTAGAATAAGATGCTTTTGAAGTTGCCCGTTGTTGTCTGCTCTTTGCACGTTAGTAATTCTGTGGTTTATCCTCGAACGGATCATTCTGGTTTGGTCCATGCGATTGTACATTTTGGGAAATCTTGATCACTAAAGAGCAATGCAATTTTAGGATTTTTTAGCTCTCTCCCCGTCCCCCCTCAAGACATCCCATCTGCACCCTACTGTCAGAATGTCTTCCCTCACTGGAGAGTCCTTATCAAGAAGAGGTGCCTAGTGTCATTGTTTCCCTAATTATTCTCCAAGGCTGTGTCCAGACTCAGGGTTTTTTTCGGGAAAAGTAGCCTTTTTCCGAAAAAACTTCCCCTGCGTCCAGACTCAAGCCGCGTTCTTTCGAAATTAAATTGAAAGAACGCGGCTTTTCTTTCGATGGCGGTAAACCTCATTTCACGAGGAAGAACGCCTTCTTTCGAAAGTTCCTCTTTCGAAAGAAGGCGTTCTTCAATGTAAATAGGGCTTCTTCAAAAGAGAGCATCCAGACTCACTGGATGCTTTCTTTCGAAAAAGCAAGCCGCTTTTTCGAAAGTTCAACGTGCAGTCTAGACGCTCTCTTTCGAAAGAGGCTCTTTCGAAAGAGGCTTGCAGTCTAGACATAGCCCAAGTCTTCTCACTTGTCGCAACTCTAGCGGGGGGGGGGGGGGAGATAGGGAGGTGGCAACAAAACAGAATGGTTGCCTGTCCAAGTTTGGGAGCCATCACAAAGGTATGAATAAAGAGATTACCTGGCTAACACACTACCTTCCACATCCTAATGACTCAACCAACTACACAATGAGGTACTTAATGAACAATTTGCACCTTCTCTCTCAGCTCCTTGTAACTAGAACACTCTGTTTCATTATTTTTCCCCTTTCCTTCTTCCCCTCCCCCCGCCATTCCCTATTTATTTTTGGATCTGGACTTTTCATACTCCATTCATCTGAAGAAGTGGGTTGTACCTAGTAGGGTCCAAGGGTCTGTCCTGGGACCCATCCTATTCAACTTATTTATAAACGATCTAGAGAAAGGGGTAAACAATGAGGTGGCAAAATTTGCAGATGATACCACATTGTTCAAGATAGTTAAGACCAAAGCAGACCGTGAAGAGCTTCAAAAAGACCTCACCAAACTAAGCGATTGGGCAACAAAATGGCAAATGGAATTTAATGTTGATGCATGTAAAGTAATGCACATTGTGGAAAAAAAATCCCAACTACACATACAATATGACGGGGTCTAGTTTAGTTACAACTACTCAAGAGAGAGATCTTGGAGTCATTGTGGACAATCCTCTGAAAACATTCACTCAGTGCGCAGTGGCAGGCAAACAAGCAAATAGAATTGTTAGTAGTAATTAAGAAAGGGGTAGAGAATAAGACAGAGAATATCTTATTGCCGCTGTATAAAACCCTGGGACACCCACATCTTGAATACTGCGTATAGATGTGGTTGTCTCATCTCAAAAAAGATATCTTGACATTGGAAAAGGTTCAGAGAAGGGCAACAAAATTGATGAGGGGTTTGGAACAGATCCCATATGAGGAGAGATTAAAAAGAATTGGGCTTTTCATCTTAGAAAAGAGGAGACTTAGGGGGGATAGGATAGAGGTCTATAAAATCATGATTGGTGTGCAAAAAGTCAATAAGGAAAAGTTATTTACTTATTCCCCCAATATAAGAACTAGGAGTCACCAAATGAAGTGAATAGGCAGCAGGTTTAAAACAAACAAAAGGAAGTTTTTTCTTCACTCAGCGCACAGTCAATCTGTGGAACTTCTTGCCAGGGGATGTGGTGAAGGCTAGGACTTTAACAGGGTTCAAAAAAGAGCTAGATAGCTTCACAGAGGTTAGGTCCATCAATGGCTATTAGCCAGAATGTGTAGGAATGGTGTCCCTAGCCTCTATTTTTCTGGAGGTGGGTGACAAGGGAGGGTTCATGTGAAGATTACGTGTTGTGTACCCTCCCTCTGGGGCACCTGGCATCGGCCGCTGTCAGCAGACAGGATACTGGGTTGGATGGACTGTTGATCTGATCCAGTGTGGCCACTCTTATGTTCTTAGGACACCAAATCCATGTTTTGTTAGTCTTTAAGGTGCTGCTAGACTATTCATGGTTTTTCAAGTTTTTCAAGTTACAGACTAACATGGCTCTCTCTCTCTGAAGCTTTTGTACAAATGAGTTTAGCTAAAGAAACACAGAAAGTGTTATAGGGGTAACAACAGTAATCAACACTATTTGGCTTAGGAAAATAGCTTGTTTCTCTTTCCCACCCTGAAATGAGACAAGACACCAGAGTGAACTTATGATGTAATGTATATGCTCAGAAAGGTACATTTGTTACACTACTCACAGCTACATCCAGCATGACACACGGGGAGCACGGCTGGTACCGGATCCACGGAGCAGAACATGAGCAACAATCACAATGGAAAAGAGGCACAATTTCCACAGTCACGGCAGACACCAATGAAAATTCATTTCTACAAAGCGGATTTATGCTAGCCCGTAAGCACCCAGTGCAACTGTCGTTGACGTCTTCAGAAGAAGAACTTTCATTGTGTTTGTGCAGCTCCTACCACAGAAGGGACCTCAGCTGGGACTTCTAGTATAAATAATACATACATTGGGACAGCCTGGTGCTTTTAAGCCAACGAGGGACCAAAACAAGGCAATTTTGATGGGGTTTAAAAGATTTAAAAAATGATCATCTGGAAATTAAAGAGGGCGATGGTATATCCTTGGATTTAATCCAGAATGACCAAGTGAGATAGGGCTGAGCGTTCCCTTTTTAATGCTGATGTTATACACAGACGCATCAGTAACCAGCGTCGAATGGAACCCTTCCTTTTTAACAGACAGATGCATTGAAGCCCAGAGAGGCAGATTAGATCCTCTCTTTTTCGTGAGTCGATAAAGGAGCGTGCATGGCTGCGGTTTGCCTCCTCTGCTTTCAAGCTGCCTTCATTTCAGTTTGTTAGCAATCTCCTTCAGAAGGCCTTTCAGATCATTCAGCTAAAAACAAAAACAAAACAAATAAAAATTCGTGTTACTCTGAAGTCAGCCTAGCTTATTCCAAAGGCAGTTGATAATTAACAGGGGGATGTCTGAGGCCAATTAGTAGGGAGTCCTTTAAAATGCCCTGGAATGGCTGTAAAACAGTGACAAAAGTGCCCATGGCACCCTCGCGTTAAGCGCCTGTTCCTTTGGTTATCCTCGGAATGCCAGCTGTTAGTGACTGAGAAATAGCCAACTATTTGTATCGGCTAGACCAGTGTTTCTCAACCTTTTTTTTTTTATAAAGTACCCCTTAAAAATTATAAGTACCCCCGTACCTACAGTTTTCAGACACACATTTGTTTAAACAACTTCATCGTAGCCAGGCGGGCGATGAAATTTTGGGGTGTAAAAAGTACAAAAATAATAAAGCGCTGTAAAACTTACAACAAAAATTCAATTTTCTCCAAATTTCAGTTGTGTTGACTTACCCCCCAGACTTCTCTCGAGTACCCCTCATACCACTGGTTGAGAAACACTGGACTAGACAAACTCAGCTGTGCTGACAAACAATTTAGGGAAACGGCCCTAGTGCGCAATAGAAGCGCCTTTATTTCAGTATTTTATTTCTTGTATTTTACTTTATATACATTTATTGATTGTGGTTTTTTTTTTTAATTGTAAGCCGCCTCGAATATTTTAAATAGAGAGGCGGGGTAAAAATATTTGAAATAAATAAATAAAATTAATAAATAAATGCCTCTTCAAACATTGCCCCAGGACAGACCGTTTGGAAGGACACCATCCATGCCTCTTCAAACATTGCCCCAGGACAGACCGTTTGGAATGGGCAACGTACTCGGCATCCTGAGGCCTAACAAACAGCTATTTCACAGATTTAACAAGCAGGCATCACGAAGCCAGCGGACTGCAAATGACTCGGAATCTGCCTTTGCTTTCGAGGTGGGAGCCTGGAGCTGGTCCCTGGAGTTTGGTGGAAACCAGTCGGCAGGAAAGGCTGCCCTGTTTTCACACCTGGCTCCCACTGTGGCTTCTCTCACTTGCAGGGCTCAGAACGTGTCTGCTCTTTCGTGCCTCAGTGCAACAAGACAACTCCTAGCATCTGAGCAACCTCCGGTGAGTCTCGTAACCTTGCCAGATGTCTGTGCCCCATGCTATGTTTTCTGCCTAAGGCACAGTGCCTTCACACAGCTCCCAATATAGGATAAATACAACCCTAAGGAAATTATATCTGACTACCAGTCAGTGTAAACGGAGCTTAAATAAAGAGGTCCCCTATCTATTCATGTCATATCATATAAACACATATTCTTCAGACCAATCAAAACCCAAGTACCTTCACATCCAGTTGTCTAAATCGATGTACCATCCTGCGAAGAGACAAAAAAACCCACCAAAATGAATCTTGCAGGACTAAAAATTCAGCTAGTGACTAACATCTTCCTTTTGCTTCAGTGTCAAACTGTGCAACAGAACGTTGCATGAAATGAATGTATGGCCGAACATCTAGTCATATAGGAGTACCCAAAATGTGGACCTAGGAAAACAATGGCTGTTGGATCCTAAAATGATCTTCTGCTCTGGATGCACATCGTTGAAGGTTAATGAGAAAGCGGATATTGACTGCAGGTGTTATTGTCTGGGAACATATACAGCTCCCATTCATCTTTCCGGGAGGAGACAAGTTATTATGGCTGGGTGCACCTGCTATTGATTATAACAAATGTAACTCGGTGTATAAATTACTGGCACTTGGCAATCCCCTTTGTCTTAAAATGTGGCCACCCGTGAATATATCTAGCTTGTAACTCAATGTTGAGCAGCATGTGGGAAGACTTATGCATTTAAAGATGGAACGTTCACAACAGGAAAGTTGCATGTCTTAGAATCACTGAAACCCTCTACCCAAAGTTAGAACAATAAGTCCCATGGCACCTTATAGACTAAGAGATTTATTGGAGCATAAGCTTTCATGGGCAAAGACCCACTTCATCAGCTGCATGTCACAAAGTGGGTCTTTGCCCACGAAAGCTTATGTTCCAATAAATCTGTTAGTTTATAAGGTGCCACAAGACTTCTCGTTGTTCTTGCAGATCCAGACTAACACGACTACCCCTCTGGTACTTGTACCCAAGGTTACTAGCTTTTCAGTGACCAAATTGGAAATGAGTAATACCCTCGTTGTTCTTGCAGATCCAGACTAACACGACTACCCCTCTGGTACTTGTACCCAAGGTTACTAGCTTTTCAGTGACCAAATTGGAAATGAGGAATACCTAGATTCTCTTAGAGGGTTGCTACAAAATCCCTGTATGTTACGTGGCATTTTCAATGAAGTTGCATGTGTGTTCTTCATGGCAGCTAGGTACCTAAATATCTTTCAAAAATCTGGCCAGTACCTTCTGATAACTTTGTTCTCTGATTCTGGTCTGTGAACATTTTTCTTCTTGGCAGTTTGTCTGACTCAGCTGTTGCTCTAAAAATGTGTAGCTGGATCCTGAAGGAGCTCAGAGGCTAGTCAGCCAAATGTCAGGATTTGACAAAGTTTGTGGATCCACCCTTAGTCTGTAATTCTCCTTTCAAGTCCCAACTAAAAATGGGAGACCCCAATCTAATCTATGTAAAAATTTAAAACTAGCCTACCTAGTTCTTAAATAGCCCATGTCATTAATGAATCTTAAAGCATTTTGAAAAAAGGAGGAAAATCTAATTAGCCCCATTTGACAGATGGGAACATAGAGGCAGAGAGAGGTGATTTGCCCAAGTTCACTCAAGCAAGCTAATGGAAGACATTTTTGGTATGCAGTTGTACATAAATACATCTATTCATGAAAATGGATTATAAAAATCTCCAATATGTTACTTGAGGCAGAATGAGTAAGCTGATTTTTGGCTGATTTTATTAATATATCGGTGTATAAGCATACTTTCTTAACGTAAAAAGGATTTTCTGAATAAAAAATAAAAAGTTTGCAGAAGTGAATTTTAGTCTAAGAGCAGAAGGTAAAGAAAAAACAGACATACTCCTCTGATGAGTCATTTGCTTTGGAATTGGTTTTGACAAGGTAATTTTCTTTCATGACAGCTTCCCATGCAAGCGTCTCATTGTCCTCATTTTTTGAACCTGAGAAATACAAAAAGGCATTAGACTAACTCAATTTGCCTGTGCCGTTTTGAAATGTGAAAGGGTCTGACGGCAAGTCGGGACACCAGAGCTGGCGGAATTTCTTTCTCTGCAGATAGCAAATTAGCGGCTAGCTTGTAAACAGAACATCGTGTCTTTTATGGCATGGTCATGGCAGGGGCCAGACTAACAGGGTTTGCATTAGAAAGAGGAATTGATGCACATTTCCACTCGGAATGGTCACAGCATTTGAGGTTTAGAAGCATTCACCTATGGAGAGGTGTGTAATAAAGTCTGGCTTCAGGCAAACGTCGCACGTGGGAGTAACACTGGATGACAATTTGGGGAACCTTACAATTTTGACACATGGGCCAAAACTCAGTTGGACCTGCTAAGGATACTGGTGGTCAAGCTGTCCCGTTCTAGCAATGGCACCGAGAGCAGTACAAGTGGTGGGAAGCAGTACCTACAAAGAGAATGAGTGTGGGGACAAAGGTCCCGCTCCTCCAAGAACCCAGGCAAGGGGTAGAAACAACACACAAATCCCACTTACAACAGATGGAGGGCTCTTTGCATTGTTTTTCACAGCAGCATTGAAAGCATTTCTTCAGCACCATGTAGATGTAGGCAAAGATGACGAAAGGAAATGGAATAGTCAAACGGCTGCCGTACTCCTGAACCAAGAAGTAGCGCTGAAACTTCCACACCTGGTCGTTGTTTTCTTGTACGGATCCAACAGTGTAACTAAGGGGCAGATTGAAAAATAAACGGCTGTGCGTCTAAGGCAGTGGTCACCCACCAGTAGATCCAGGGGCGGCCCGTGAGACTAGACAAACTAGGCAGCTGCCTAGGGCGCTGCCGGCCTGGGCGCCTGATGATGATGACACAGGGTGCCGGGGCGCCCGATGAGGACATCACGGCCATTGACGGCTGTGCAGGCAGGGACGCCGATCGCGCCTTCCGCCTGGGGTGCCACAGCCGGCCTCAGGCCGCTCCTGAGTAGATCGGGATCTACTGGTAGATCTTGGAGCCTCTGACAGGTGATCCTGGCTGGTTTGGCCAAGAGGCTGTCAAGTGCCAGCACTTCATCTGCCCCTTCCCCCCACTACTGTGCACCTCCTGCCCCTCCTCCGCTTCCTCCCCACCCGGAATCTCCTGCTTGCGGTGCAGGGGAGGGAAGGGAGAGGAGAGCGCTGATGTCAGGGTGCCCCCCTCCCACCCTGTATTCTATCTCCACAGAACGGAGGGGGGCACAACAAAGCTTGGGACGGAGGGAGTTTGCTGGCTGCTTTTGAGAGTGGTGTCAGGCCAGGGCAGGGGGGAGCCTGCCTTAGCCCCACTGCACCCCTACCCAGGAGCCACCGGAGGTAAGCAGTGCCCAGCTGGAGCTAGCTCCAATTCCCTGCCCCAGTCATGAACCCCCCCCCCCCGCCCCCCAATCCCCCCCCCCCGCCCAC